AGGATTGCCCTCCAAAAAAGGGACCCAGGTCTTGCAGCCCTGCATCAACCAATCACTGGATGCAGGTTGACCCATGAAAGGGGATGACTTTGGAGCAATGGAGTGCCTTCATCCAAGTAAAATTCCTGGTGATAGACTCAGCTGCTGGTCATCTCAGGCACAATTAACTCAAAGTAAATCATAGATCTAAATGTGAAACCTAAAACTATAAACCTCTGGTAGAAAAAAAGAAAATATTTGTGACCTTGGGCAAAGATGTTTTAAATCAGATAGCAAGAGCATGATCCATGACAGTACAAATGGATAGATTAGACTTCATCAAAATTAATAACTTCTGCTCTTCTAAAGACACTTCTAAGAGAATTAAAACACTAACCATAGACTGAAGAAAATACTTGCAAAACACACATCTGAAAAATTACATGTATCTAGAATATATAAAGAACTTTCAAAACCCAATGATAGGAAACAAACAACACAACTTAAAAATTTGTGTTGGAGGAAACATTTCAATAGATATGTCACCAAATGAGATAGAAGGATGGCAAATAGATGAAAAGGTGCTCAAACACCATTAGTTATTGAGGAAATAAACATTAAAACCACAATGAGATACCACCTCACCTATCAGAATGGCTAAACTTAAAAGGCTGACCTTACCAGAATCAGAGAGAATGTTAATAAAACTAAAACTTTCATACACTGCTAGTGGGAATGTTACATGATGCTACAAATTTGGAAAATAGTTTGAGAGTTGTTAAGAAAGTTAAAAATACAGCTTACCATGTGATTCAACCATTTCACTCTTAGGGATTTACCCAAGAGGAAAGAAAGCATATGTCCATACAAAGATTTGTACATGAACATTTATAGCAGCTTTATTTGTAAAAGGTCAAAAGCTGGAAATAACCTAAATGTCAGTCAGTGGGTGAAGGCATAAGCAAACTGGTGCATTCAGAGCAGTGGAATACTATTTAGCAATAAAAATTAATTATTAATGCACACTAAAATGTGGATGAAGTTCAAGATAATTTTGCTGAGTGAAAGAAGTCAGTAAAAAGTTGCATATTGTATGACTTTATTTATATAAAGCTCAAGGAAATGCAAAACAATACATAAGGACATGAAACATGCTTCCTTGGGAATTAGGTGGAAAGGAATGAGTAAGAGAGATTACAAAAGAGCATGAGAAAGTTCTGGGAGTGATGGAAAGATCATTATCTTGACTGGGATGGTGGTTTCACATGTGTATACATATGTTAAAACTCATCAACTTGTACACATTACATTTGTCAAGTATGCTTAAGGAAAAAATAGAAAGGAGTAAAGAAGAAAGAAAGGAAAAAATAAAAGGAAAAGAAAGGAAACAAAATCTAAAACTGTTCTGAGATATCATTTGTTACATATTGGAGTGGTAAAATAACCTATTTCTTGTAACAGCAACAAATCTTTATATTTAAATATACATAGAAATGCAATTCTATATTGATCTCACTGCAAGATAAATAAGAATGTCTCCTTTAAATAATTTGAAATGTTCATTTAAAATACAAGCAATATTTAACAACTGTAATTCATTAGTGATTTGAAAGTTTGCTTATCAAAGGGAAGAATCTTTTGAAAGCTATTTCAGAATGCTAAAATTTAAAAATATCAGAAATGTGACCAAATATATGCTTCCTGCAAAACTAATGCTATGTTATACCTAGTACTAGAAGAATAGAATTTATGCAATTCAACACAATTTAAGGCATTCTTGTCTTTCCCAGTTTGTCAAATGTAGGATTTTAAAAGCTAATTTAAGCTTGTTTTATAAAGTTGACTTCCTATATAGTGTGCTATGAACTTGACCTTATGAATTACAAAATTTTAAAGCGCTTTAATATTTTGGGCTCTTGATAATTCTTTAATGAAGTGATCACTGAATTACAATTTGAACCCTAAATGGCTTATGAGGTTTCATAACAAGCCTAGCTTTGTAAAATGAGTGAAATAATTCATGCATATTCTAGCATTATTGAATTCGTAGCCACACTCTCATTTTTGGACATGCCACTCCACTTAACCAAAGGTCACGTGATGTTTTTGCATTGTTCATTTCTGTGTATCACAGTTTTTAGGGATAGTTCACAGGGAGAAGCCCTGAGTCAGGCATTTGGTTCAGGTCACACCTCCTCGCAACAGAACTTTTATTTTCCTAAACGGTTTCCAATGAGATGACTTATAAGCACTAGATGTTGTTTGTCAGAGGATGTTAAAAGGGAGCAAAGGCAACAGTTCAAATAACATTCTAATATGGTCCAGATAAACAGGGGTAACCTGGCACCTGACAGGTGGATCTACGTAAATTCCCACTGGATGATACCATAATGTTCTTGCTCTCCAGTTAACATATGACTCGTCCATCCCTCAACAACTGGACTCTACCTCAGCCTCCTTAACTCTAAATTTCTTAATTCCTAAGGTGATAATAATAATATTCATGGAGCAGGAGGAGGAGGAGGAGAAAAGTACAATAGTGATGATTCTAAAAAAACCACCCCCATGTGCTGCTGTAACAATTCAGAGGGACAGCATCTGTCAGTTACCTAGTGCTTTGCCTGGAACTCAGTCCAGTCATTCTGTTTCAGATGGTATTGGGTGAATGCCGTTTTGGTATCACAAACTTTCTTTCAGGGACATAGAGATGAATGGGTCTTCCCAGGTGGCGCTAGTGGTAAAGAAACCGCAGGAAACATAAGAGACAAGGGTTCGATCCCTTGGTTGGCTGACGGAGGGCATAGCAACACACTCCAGTATTCTTGCCTGGAGAATCCCTCGGACAGAGGAGATGGTGGGTTACGGTCCATAGGGTTGCACAGAGTCAGATACAACTGAAGCCTCTTAGCTGCAGAGATGAATAAAAACTAAGAATGCACAATTTACCAGTAAAGTCAAGATGTTAAAGTACTGTTCAGAGGCCAGGTGCCACAAAGGTAGAGTGTGTTTCATTTTGCTTTGGTGCTCAAGATACCTTCAGAGAATTAAAGACATTTTTATCCTTCATCCGTGTGTTCTCTACTAAAGCTAACCACAACTATTCAAAAGAGGCATCTGAGATCCACCTACAGTTTGGTTCCTTGTGGTACAGAGCAGAATCTGGTCTGCTAAATAATCATCCTTTGAGTTCCAAGATTTGAAGGGGGTTGTGCATTGAGGAGGCAGCACTAATTGTAACCGTCCTATGGCCTTCAAGTCTCTAATCCTAACCTCTACCTCAAGCTAAATGTATTCTTTTAGAAATGTAAAAATTCAGTAACTAAGGCAAAAGCAGTTACTTCAAGCCCCAGGGCTCTCAACTGTGTGAAATGTAAATTGAGAGAAGATAGATTCTGAACTCCAGGAAGCTAATTGGGAGCCCTAGGCAGAAATTCTAAATGTAGTCAATGGCGCCTTGTCCTTTTCAGTGTTTTAGGCAGCCAGTGAGAGGGTTACCTCTAGGGTGTTAACTGATTAGCATTGTTAGAGAAAAGGCCGTCAACAGAGATTGGTAGGCTGAAGTCTCCCATTTCCAAATCTCCAATTTAACTACTAGCGCAAGGGTTACAACTAACCAGAGAAAAAATGTTTTCATATAGTGCCAGTGAGGGACACTCTTCCTTTGGACAACAAAACTGTAAATAGCTCTACTACATAAGATAAAAACTCACTGAAAAATAGTAATAGGATATTCAATGATAACTAGAGGTAGAAAAATTCTTCATTAAAATCATATTCTACTAATCTAAGTGAGTTTCCCATTGACTTCTATTTCTTCAACAAAAACCCACCTCCTGAAAATTTCTGTGGGTTTGAGACACATGTCCAGTCTGTCTGGGGCCAGAATAAGTGAATTCTTAGAAAAGAGGTGTTAACACTGAATAAAAATAATTGTGTGGAAGTGGAAGTAAGGTTCTGAATATGTACCTCACTAGATCAAATGTTCTTAGCTGATGATGCCGGAGTGGGTCATGAGTAGAAAAGCAGAATGCTGAATCCAGAAAGAAATAGCGAAACCAAAGGGCAAGGTCCCACGGTCCATAGAGTGTCTGTTTGAAATGAATCTATTGCTAATAGCTATACCACTGTACACTTGTAGATAGCTTCCCAACCATTTTCATATCCCAAACATCTTATATCAAATAGACTCTTAAAGTCTCATCATCGTCATTCTACAGATGAAAAACTAGACTTGGAGAATTTAAGTGACTTGGAGTATCATTACAGCCTAATTCCCAGTCATGCAATCTTTCTTCTCTAGCACGCTGCCTCTACATTAGAGCTGGAAACGTTGTTCCAGAAATGTTTGTGGGTGGAGTCTAGGGGATCCTTACTGAATCTGAGTCAAGGGTGTACAGATAGCTCATTCTTTTTCTTTTTTAAAGGAAATCCTCAAACTTGCGTAAAAATAGAAAGCTAGTGTAATGAGTCTCCATGAACTCATCACAGCTATAACACCAACCTACCCAATTGTCACCTGAGGCCTCTAGGGGGACTGGTTGAGGCTTAGGTTAGAAAGGACCCAGCTGCTCCAGAATGACTTGGAAGGGAATGAACTGAGAATATCGGGAAGAGACTGTGATTTAAACCCAAGCCCAAACAAACCAAGTAAGATGAGTTACCCAATCTGTTTCATGTCTCAATTCCAGAGTTTCCTCATTTACAAGCAAATACTTTGAAGTAACCCAGGATGTCTATGCTTCTGCAGGACCCCAGAGAGCAGTGTGAGATCCTAAGGAAAAGCATGATCACAGCCACCCCATACCAACTTCCCTCCTGCCCAGCAGCATCCCCTCATTGGTATCCTGCCCACTTTAACACATTCTACTTGATAAAGTACATGTTTTATTTTTTTTAATGTTTACTAGTAAAATACGAAAGAGAAACTATGTTAGAAAAATCTCTACATCAATTAAAGAAGTTACAGTTTCATTAACTGTAATGCTTTTAAAAGAGAAATTCATGAAAACCTCTTTTCTTACCGGTATTTTGTTTCTTTGTTGTGTATTTGATGCTGAATTTCCAGACGTGGTGCTGAAATAAAGTAAGAATTCAAAATTCCAAAATTTTCTCTCAGACATGCACACACTCATACACACACATACACACACTGCATCTAATAGATCTTTATGCTCTAACATTGAAGATGTATCTTCTAAAGTATTTCCTCCCAATGTCATTTTCTGAACATTTTTAAAGGAAGTCAAAACTAGGGAATGTAAACTTTACTTGAAGAAGATAAAATAGCCTTTAAAGGTCCTCTTGAGAATAAGCAGTCCGAACAGTACAATCTGTTCTGAAAACCTGCAAAATATCTTATTTCAACTAGAAAAACATATCCTATGAAACAGCAGACTTTGAGAATTCTTTGTCTCCTACACTGCTTCTCAATCAATTTCTCTTTGTCTGTTGGATTATTTCCAATAGTTTACAAATATGCTCTTATTTATTGCATCTTGAGCCCTGTTAACCCTTTAGTTTCTGCTTGATTACTCTGATCCCCATTAGAGCAAAACTATATTGTCACTGTCTCTAATTCCTTTCTTCCTATTTTATGTTAAAGCCATTCCATTCAGACTCTCACAACTATCATTCCACAGAAATTGCACTTACTGAATTCACTGGTGAGTCCACATTACTGTAACCAGTGGTCATGTGTCACAGTTCATCTTAACAACTTTTGACATGATTCAAGACTCCCTCCTTGAAATGCTTTCTTCACTTGGCTCCCAAGACATCCTAAGGTCCCAGACTTTCTTCCCATTCCATCTCCTGCTCCTTTTCAGTCTCCTTTGATGGTTGTTTCTTCTTTCTCTCAACTCTGGACATTGGCCTGTTCTCTTCTCTACTCAATTATCTCCCTCAGTGAGCTGCTCCAGCTTCAGGGATTTAAATATTATTAGTATGCTGGGGCTTCCCTGGTTGATCAGACAGTATAAGAATCTGCTTGCAATGCAGGAGACCTGGATTCAACCCCTGAGTTGGGAAGATCCCCTGGAGAAGGGAATGGCAACCCACTCCAGTATTCTTGCCTGGAGAATTCCATGGACAGAGAAGCCTAGCAGACTACAACCCATGGATATGACTGAGCAACTATCACAATATGCTGATCACTCCCCAATACATATTTCCAGTGCAGACTTCTCCCTTGAAATCCAGATGCATTTATTCAATTGCCTTCTTGACATCTCCACCAGGATGCCTAGTAGACATCTCAATTTCAACATTTCTAAAACCTAACTCCTGATTCCTACTCCCAAATCTGCTCTACTTGCAGTCTTCTCCATCTCAGTTGACAATGACATTATCTTTCCAGTTGCTCAGGCCAAAACCTTGACTTTTCTTTTTGTCATGGAAACCAAATCCAACCCAACAGGAAATTTAGGGATCTACCATCATAACGTATCCAGTACCTAGCCAGTTTTCACCATCTTCATTGCTAACAACCTGGTTGAAACCTCAAGCTACATCAGATCTTACCTGGACTGTTGCATTCATCTCCTAAATGTCTCTCTCTGGTTTTCACTTTTGCCCCCTACCTTCAGTTTTCAACACACATCAACTGTAAAAATATTATTTCACTCCTCTGCTAAAAACAAACAAAAATCTCCAGTAAAGGATTCCATTTCACATAGAATAAAAGCCAAAGGCCATATAACAACCTACAAACTCCTAAAGACGTCTTTACCATTCAGCCTTTCCATCTACTGTAGGATGCCATTCCATTCCCTTCCTCCCCTCCCAAACACAACACTCCTTTTATTTGTCTGAATTCATCTCATATTCCTCTTCTCAACTCCTCCCTTTTGAATCTCACTGACTTTCTTATTGTTCTTCCGTCACTTATGCCAGGAAGTTTTCATCTATACTTGTCCACCGGGCTTTTTACTACTTCCTTCTTTGCTTTGCTCAAATATCCCTTTCCCAGGCAAGCCCACCACATGCACGTCATTTAGAATTAAGCTCCTCACTCCTCTGTCCATCCAAATTACCTTGATTGATTTTTCGCTGCTGTGTTTACCACCTTCTAACTCTTTATGTACTTGCATGTTTATTATATCCATTGTTTTTCCTCTCAACTGAACATATAAATTCCTTAAAGATAGGGAATTTTTTTATGCTGTTATTTTCTTACTCTATCCCTAACATCTTCAAGAGGGCTAGGATGGTCAATAAATATTTGTTGAACAAATAAATGAGTGAATATTTGAGTTAATAAACCTCCAGTCTTAGTAAGTCATTCTGTTGTTACCAACCAGCAAGCGTTATTTTACAATACTGGAGCACTTTTATTATTTTCTATCCTACTATCTCCCTAATGAGTGTGTTACTTTATTCCTATATTTCTGTGCATGTCTCTTACTTTAAAAAAGTCAAAACCGTTTAAAATGTTCACAGAGTAATCAGTGACTGTTGAACAAAATTAATTAAATTCCCACTTAGTGAAGGACACACTGGGGTTCTGAGAGATATAATTGTTTTTCTTGCATCATACCTAAATCAGCTTTCTACTTGACAGTACCTCTTTATCATGAAATGGAAAACACGCTTTTGATCATCACAGTTGCTGGGAAAAACAGCAAACCATTTGAAGGACCTTAATAAGCTGGCCCTTCTTGCCTTTTAATTAATTTTACTTTCTATCAATCTATCTCACAAAAACTGATATTTTCGCCAAATTTGATTTTTACTACCCTGTAGTTCCAGGGCGTGTGTTTGTCTTTTAATTAGATTGTTTGCTCATGCTCTCATCTCTGTTTGTTAACATCTTACACATTCTTCATGACAATGAAAAGTGAAAGTGTTAGTCACTCAGTCGTGTCCGACTCTGCGACCCCAGGACCCCAGGGACGGTAGCCCGCCAGGCTCCTCTGTCCATGGGATTCTCCAGGCAAGAATACTGGAGTGGGTTGCCATTCCCATTCCTCACACCACAACTCAAATGGTGCTCCCACAAGCCTCTTCAGTTCTACTGATCAGAACCATTTCTTGCCTCTGTGTCCACAAGCAGATTTTGGATGTCTGTCTTTTATGGTTTTTATTTCATTTCATGATGTTTTATAGCTATTTGTCTACCTTTATTTTTGCATTTCTCAATGACACCTCTCAGAAGACAAGGACTGTGCTTAATCAAGAAATGAAAATTCAATCGCTGAATGAAACCAAACCAAAAAAAAAAAAATGAGTCTAATACATGTGCATATTCAGATGTGACACAGATATACAAGAAAAAGTACTGTTTGAAGCTAATTTCTTTTAGTAATGCCTGAAACAAAACTATGGGTTTAAAAGGCAGCTTTGGCTGCCTGACAATGATATTTAAAGGTCATGAGTCATGGCCTCAGGGTAACCATAGTAACTCAGCATACACAGAACAAGTCATATTGTAGCATAATTAAGGGAACAAAAGCTTTAGAAAGCCTATTAGCCTTGAGAGAAAACAAATTAGAATTACCAAATATATTTATGAAGGTTGTTTTTATTGCAGTGATTTCTTCCTTCAGGGTTCATAGAAGATCTGAAAAAAAATCTTCAAATTTCTTTTGGCAGGAAGTAATAATATGACATATAGGCCTTATAGTTGTTTTTTCCAGTATTTAATAAGGACATAAATATTTCATTCCTTTCGGTGAAAAAAAAAAACCTTTATATCTGTTCTCCCAACTTTTTGCCTCCTTTTTTTCACCAATTGGTCCAAGTGGATGAATATTTTAATAAAATTCATTTGGAAATACACCTATTGAGCACCTCGTCTCTTTTAGGAGAGGATAAAGAGCTTTTTGTTTCATCCCCTGGGTTAATTGCATCCAGCGCCTAACCATCCCTGGCTTAGACAACACTGTGCAAGTTCCCATTTGGTTTAAACTACACATGCTATGGAGTAGGTCTGTCTCAAGGGCCTGGGAAGAGGAGGGGAGAGAAATAAGGGCGGGCAGATACATGGGGCCAGTTTGTTCCCGCTTAGAAGTGAAAGAGCTGAATTGCACCATTCTAAAGGTGAAGTGGAGTTTCATGGTCATCCACTGTCTCCTTCATCAGAGCCCTGCTCCATGCTTGCACAGAAGACTGCTCCATATACCAAGAGAACAGACCCCCCCACTGATGATTCACAGTGAGGGCAAAGCCCTGCTCTCCACTTGACTTCCCTGCTGATGGCACCCTGGGCTGTTCCTTTCAAAGTTGTTGTTTTTATCACAGGCCATTTTTCCTCCACTTGGTAACATAGCATTCAGCTCTCCAATTGTCAGCACATTGACATGTCATCTCTAAAAGTGCCGTGTTCAGAGAAATGAAAACAAGTGTTTGCTAGATTTTATTTTCTTTAACAGAAACTACCTTCAAAAAACTTCCTTCCCCCAAAAGATTGTCAATCTTTTGCGAGTCACAGACTCCTCTGCACATAGAAATGTTTCTCACAACAGGAGAATTTGTGAATTTCTCATTTCATTTATGGACCATAGACATAGGTTAAAATTAAATAAAACAAGGTTTACATATTTCATGTTGGAGAAAGAAATGGCAACCCACTCCAGTATTCTTGCCTGAAAATACCCACAGGCAAATGAGACTGGAGGGCTACAGTCCAAGGGATTGCAAAGACTCAGACACAACTGAGCAAGTGAGCACACATTTCATGTAATGAAAATACATTTTTAAATCTTAATAAATCAGGACTAGAGTTACATGTGTGCATACCACAAGGACATCATTTTAGAGGATATAGGTCTTTCTACAGAAAAGTCCTGGTTATCTCTCATACAAGGTTTAAAAGAAAAATCTAAGTGGAAGGTACATCTACATTTTAAGGGGAAAGGAACATTGTGTCAACATGCAGATTTCCTAGTGATTAACTATAGATTGATTGTAGCAAGGTACTGTACTTCCGTATTTATGGCCAGAGTTGGTTTGGATTTCTGTTTGAGTATGGTTGGAATGGCCTAACTTCTTTTGTGTATATCTCTTGGCAAGGGAGCAGTGAGGATGACGTTTCATTCCAGTAGTTCTAAAAAAGGGCTGCCTCAACCTCCCCTTCTCACACCAGTATAATGGTTGGGGTGAGTATGTGATTTTTGAGAAGAATGAGTGAGGAACGTTTTATTCATTCAACAAATATTTACTGAACACCTTCTGCATATCAGACCCTGCCCTTTCATCTGAGAAGGCATCCATATTCAAAGAGAGGGATCATCCTCCAGGAAAGGAGAAAAGATCTGTCTGATGTTTTTCCCCAGACATGAAGGAAAGGTTTTCTCTGAAGCACCAAGTGAAGGCTACTTTATCTATAAATTCCCATGAATTCTTTTGGAACAGGAGTAGTTAGGAACTCACCTGCTCCTCCCTGGGGTGTCACACCCTGGGACCACAGATGTCCTGCTGTAACATTCTCCCATCTCAAATCGGGCCCCCTGAGATGCCCTGTCCGTTGGACAGACATCGACTATCCCCATTCCTTAGACATTTAGAATCCCTGTTACTACTCTGCTGTCCCCGTTGCTAGGCAACAACAATGGCTGAGGAAAGGACCGTTAGCTTCCCAAAGAAAAAGTTTCAATTCCAAAGCCACAGTAACCTCTAAAAACATCTCACAAATCAGATCCAGGCATGAGTGTAGATGAAAATCACTATGGATTCATCATTTCTGGAAAATGCACTCAAATTGGGCCACAAGTAATGGTTTTTGTGCTCAAACCATGACATGTTTACATTCAGAGCCAGTGCTAAGGAAACAATCACACTGTTTGTCTGAGTGTGTGTAGTCACAGAAATGGATTGGTTTACAGGCTGCCAGCAGTTTTTGCCACAGACCACCTCCCCTTGTGATAATCCCATAGGCCCAGGCAGAAAACTGCATGTGGCCACATCCTAATTAAGGCTTCTATCCGGACTTAGGATTGCAGAAGTGATAAATTGTGCTGATTAGCTGGTGATCTGCTCACTGTCACAAATCATCTGTAGCCACTGCTCCTTCTTCCTTGTTGTTTGTCCGAAAAACACAGCCACTTTCTCCCATCCAGTTGCTACATCCTTCCCTGGATGCATTTGTGGACCCAGGACATCTAATATTCACTCCACTTCCTGCTCTGGCAGGAAGTACATATAGGATCTTTGCAGTCTACAGACAGAATCACTCCTGGGCTTTGAACTCTTATGTCCTGGGCTCACACAAACCTAATCACAGAGTGCATCCAAAATAGATTGGCAGGAGAGAAATTCTTCTAATCACAGAGTTTATTTCTAGGGATGGAGCATGTAGACCAGATAACTGCAAGAATAGTGAAATCAGTTCAGTTCAGTTCAGTCGCTCAGTCGTGTCTGACTCTTTGCAACCCCATGGACTGCAGCATGCCAGGCATCCCTGTCCTTCACCAACTCCCGGAGCTTGCTCAAACTCATGTCCATCGAGTTGGTGATGCCATCCAACCATCTCATCCTCTGTCATCCCCTTCTCCTCCCGCCTTCAATCTTTCCCAGCATCAGGGTCTTTTCCAGTGAGTCAACTCTTCACATGAGGTGGCCAAAGTATTGGAATTTCAGCTTCAGCATCAGTCCTTCCAATGAATAATCAGGACTGATTTCCTTTAGGATGGACTGTTTGGATCTCCTTACAGTCCAAGGGACTCTCAAGAGTCTTCTCCAACACCACAGTTCAAAAGCATCAATTCTTTGGTGCTCAGCTTTCTTTATAGTCCAACTCTCACATCCATACATGACTACTGGAAAAACCATAGCTTTGAGATGAACCTTTGTTGGCAAAGTAATGTAAAATCAGTGGTAGCTTATCAACTAAAGAGTATAATGTGCATTTACTTCTCCAACAGAACTTTGTCACCAAGATCCCTGGTAAAAACAAGTAAACGATACAAGTGAAGTTATGAACCAATGAGCAGTTGGTGTTCTAAGAGGAAAAATCAACACTAATTAGGTGGATGTGGAAAGATAAAAACTGGGGTATTGGCCTTGCCTCTAGTTAGCGGTCTGTGTGAAATTCAGAAAATCATCTTACCTCTTTATGACTTTTTTTTTTTAATATAAAAGACTCAACTTGAGTTGTTTCTGTCACCATTCCAGATTTAACATTCTGTTCTGTTTCCTTAGCCCATCTTATTAAAAAACCCACAGAATGGATTATACTTTACTGCCTTTTAGAGGAATGTGCAGATATTCACTGTGTGGTTGGTTCATACCAATTTTTGAAAGGAAGGTCATCTCAGTAATGGCTGGTGAAAGTCAGTGTAAGCACTAATTATTTATAATGCTTATTAATCTTATCTTACATCTGATGATCAAAAAGAGGTGAGGAGTTATGGCTGGTACAAAAACAGACTTTCAAAAAGTCCTTGAAAAACAAAGTGACCTTTCCACTATTACTTCTTAAACGAATGCTACAGGGAAGGATTTCAGAAGGAAGTGGTGAAGAAACTAGCAGGTTTATTGAAAACATATTAGTCTACAGAATTTTTGACTGAACAGGCTAAATAATGAAATAAATGATTCTATCCTTTTGTGGTTAAGTTGAAGGAAAAACCTTATTAATGAAAGTCATTGAAATGAACTTATTTTTTAAAGACAGACTAAATCTTGAGGAAAAACTACAAAATTTCCCTCTAGACTAAAGGAAATGGGGGGATTTTTAGAATTTCTAGAAATAAATATAAATCATCGGCACTTCCTCCATTAACAGCATTTTAAATTAAAAAAAAAACATAAGCTCATCAGGGCTCTTAAAGATCACTCTGCATAATCTGTAAACTTACTTGTCTGTCAGGAGTACATCTTATTTTAGAATCAGAAATCATATATTATATATAACAAAGAAGAATCCTAAGGATTATACATAATTTATGTGCTCTCATCCTAATACTTATCAAGATTTCTTGTTAAACTTAGGTCAGAGAAGAAATAAGATCAGAAAGGAAGGTAGAAGAAACATACAATGAGCAGAGAGCAAAACAGAACAGATAGTAGATGACAATGAATTAGAATGGCTGCAGAAAGAAGGCAAAGCTGCAGTGGAGGTTTTGAGAGTTTCTTCCAGGGAAAGAGCCCTCTGGTTTTTATCTCTCCACTCACTTTCAATTCACTAATTCACCAAACATTGAAGACCCATTATGCACTAGGCATGGTGTGAAGCATAAATAAAATCAATACTGGTCCCCATTCCCTTGGAACGGATCATTTTATCAAGGCTGTCATTCTAATAGCCATGCATGTTCTATTAGAAAAAGAGTAAATGAAGAAAGTGTTGGATGGTCCAAAGTGTGTCCTAGCTTAACAAATGCCAAGCACCAAAAGAAAGAATAAATGAATAAAAACAAGCAGAAGTACCTCATAGATATTCCTCCTTGGAGGTACAATTCTGTGGAGACTAATGACCACTAATTACAGAGTTAACCCAGGGAGGTTCACTTTATTTTCATTGTTATGGACACAGTGACAATGCCCGTGGCTGGGAGTCAGGGTGTGTCTGACCTAGGGGAGGACAAGAAGAGGGGGTGAAGGGGAGAGAAACCACGGTAACATCTCACAAACAAGTACATAGACTGTTCACAACCCAAACATCTTTCAGTTGATTGCAGCAACTTTCCTTGTGTTTCTCTCAAGAATTAGCCAGCTCTCTTGTCATTGTTTTTTGTGACCTCTTCCCTGTGTTGCTGATTGCTTGACACAGTGGGTCTAATTATCTCCAGACTTCCAGCATGCTTTAATGAAGAGGGTTGTTTACCTGGGTGAGCAGAGAGGCTTGCCTACCCCTTGGTCCTAAAGTCTTTCTTCAGAAGACAGTAATAAAATTAAAAGCTGTTAGCTGATGAGCAGCAATGTCAGCTTTTCATCTATGGCTTTTTTTAATGGAAGAAAGTTAATATATTTTTTTCTTCCTCACAATTCTATATTACATGAACATTTGTCATATTAGGAATCCAAAATAGTCTCTTAATGCCCCTGTAAGAATTGTCTCTGTCCCTTGTGTTCAGTTTTAGAGAGACAATAAATTTATGTACTCAGCACTCATGGTATAACCCAAGGAGGGACAAATACTATCCAAAGGACCTCATAGCATCTGAACTTGGCTATTCAGCAACTGGATCCTGGGACTTAGAATCTCAAACAATTGATATAAGAATAAAATAAGCAATTGAAATTCTAGTTATCCATATGCTCATTTATTTTTTCCCACAAATACTTATTGAGGCTCTGCTACATGACAGGGATTTTTCTAGATGCTGGTGATATAGTGATAAAAAGCAAGACAAAGTTGCTACCCTCATAAATTTCATAATTTAGTTGGAGGAGTCAATAAAAAAATTACCAAAGATAATTTCAGATAGAAAAAAAGTGCTATAGAAAGAATAAAACAAGAATGTACAACTAGGAACAGGAGACAGCATAGAACTGAAACACAGCGGATGGGAAAGGAGCATCCTTTGAAAGGAAGGGTGTTCCAGCCAGTGGTTCAGTCCTATCCCACTGTCACAGAAACATGCTAAGTAGCAGCATTAAAACCTGTCTGACCTCATGTCTTTCTGTGCTCCCCTTCACAGAAAAATTCATCCAAAAAGTTGTTTATTTTTCCATCTCTCTTCAGTCTTCTCCAACTATTCATAGTATCCACTGGGATGGCTTTCATTCAGGCCACAAACAGCCTTCACTTTGTCATCTCCCTTACATAGCTGCATCCTGACCTAAACTTTGCCTATTATGAGTCCTGCCTCTTAGTCTCTGGAATGGCCTTGGTTGCTGTCCATTCTAACCAACTCTAACTGCAAACTCCGCTGATTTCATGAGTCCCGAGAGACTGCCAGTTAGTTCCATTTCTCTTTTCTTAGCCCAGATTGGTTTCTGTTGCTTCGAACACAACTCTAATTCATGCACTTCTATTTTTCATATTCCTGTTGATTTTTATTTGGGAAACCCAATTGTTCAACCTACAGCCCAGTCCTCGTTCATGATTTTGCTTATATTCATTGCTTTCTTTTAACTGTTACACTGTCTTGTTGAGGACATATTTGTGTTCCTTCTATGATTGACAAGCTGTTCTTTTATAGTTATTTATTTCTTGAAAGTAAATCACTAATTCATTTAAAAACATTTGTTATCATGTTATGTTCCTATCACAGTGTAAGATATTGGAGTTAGACATAGGTAAAAACAGTAATGGTTCCAAGAAATTTCCCTTTTGGGTTTGGTTCAGTTCAGTTCAGTCACTCAGTTGTGTCTGACTCTTTGCGACCCCATGAATTGCAGCATGCCAGGCCTCCCTATCCATCACAAACTCTCGGAGTTTACTCAGACTCATGTCCATCGAGTCAGTGATGTCATCCAGCCATCTCATCCCCTGTCGTCCCCTTCTCCTCCTGCTCCCCATCCCTCCCAGCATCAGGGTCTTTTCCAATGAGTCAACTTTTCGCATGAAGTGGCCAAAGTATTGGAGTTTCAGCTGCAACATCAG